AATGTCCTAGTAGGCATTAGCATTCATTCATTGCGTTCTTAGAAATGAAGCCCCAGAGCCTCTGGAGACATTTACGAAGATACAATTTACTAGTTAATCCTCCAAGTAAATTAATAAGCCATGCCCCACCCAAACTAACAGCATTTTTTATTTTGACCTCGAAGGACATTCTTTCAGCATCTTATGATGTCATTATGATAAAATAAAAGGACCACAGCATCCCTGCTAACCCGTGTGACATGTCAGATCCAGTTACACAAGTACTTTTTATTGAGTAATCGGTGTTCATAAAGCATTTGGCTAGGTTTTATGGAGGAAACAAAAAATGAGGAAGGAGCAAGGAGCAGTGCATCCCTCCTTTACCTTGTGAACTAAGTCGAGGTTCCCACCCCCCATTGTACAGTTTATTACTGCATAGTGAGAATCAATTTAATCTTCCTGGTACTTTCTGTTACCATTCATCCAACTTTTCTTTTTATACCAGTCAGAATGGCTAAGATTTTAAAACTAAATGAATGAATAAGTAAAGGAAGCAGATGCTAGCTAGCATGGGTGTAAGGAAAGGGGGACACTTTGTTAACGGTGGGACTGCACAGTGCCACATTCACTATGGAAATGAGTGTGGAAGTTCCTCACCAGGCTACATGGAGATCTACCACATGGTCCAGCTGTACCACTCCTGGGAAGACTTCCCAGGGACTCTCTGTCCTCAGTACAAAGAACACTGCTTATCCGTGTTCATTATTACTTTATTCATGATAGCCAGAAGTGAGGAAGAGCCTAGAAGACCATCAACTAGTGAATAGATAATGAAAATGTAGTACATACACACAATGAAATATTATTAAAGTATAAAGAAAAATGATATGAAATTTGCAGGTAAATGGATGAATCTAGAAATCATTTTGGAATAACCCAGTCCCCAGTAGACAAATGTTGTATGTTCTTTTTCACATGTAGATGCTAGCTTTGGACCTTTAGTTATGTGTGTTTAAATAAGAGTACCCATAGAAGTCAAGAAACTAATAAAGGGCTCATGAGGGGAAGATTTCAAGGAAGAGAAGAAAGAATGCAAGTACTATAGAATAGGGAAAAGGAACAGTGAACAGGCAGGGCTAAATGAGAGTACTGGGGAAGAGGCTGGAGAGATGGCTCAGTGGTCAAGACAGAAGACCCAAATTTGTTTCAGCATCACGGCAGGTGGCTCCCAACTGTCTGTAATGCCAGCTTCAAGGGATCCAATGCCTTCTTCTGGTATACATCATAACATCAATAAATAAATTTTTTTAGAAATGGGGTAGAAGATGGAAGGACAGGGTAGAAGAGGGAATATGGGAAAGAATAACTAATAGACTTCTGAAAATGCCATATGGAAACATGCTACTGTAGAATATGTATGTACATATATACATATATGCATATACTGTAGAATGTGTTATACATACATATATAAAAGGAGTTTAAATGGAGTTATTCTACACTTCCCCCACACACAAACATTAAAGGCTCATTGCTCTTGGTCACCTCCAGAATTCATAGGACTTGGGAGATCAAGCGAGTATCAACCTGGAATCTTCATCCCACTGGCTACATTTCATAGTACTGAACTGTCTTGTGCATGTGCCGGGTGAGTGATTTGTAGTCTTACCCAACTGTGAATCATGGAAGCTATAGTAATAACTGGCCTGGCAAGACATGGCCACTTATTAAATAGTGGTACAAATGTTATGAAAGTAACCAATTACTTTCTGGTTGGAGTTAATGCCTACTTTACAAGATGGAGTTCATACCTGATTCTATAAATTGGACCAAAACTTGTGGCTGACTAGGTCATAGGCCCTAAAGGAGAACCTAATACTGTTATTCTGCTAAACGGACATAGTAATGAACTGCCTCCAAATTAATCTTTATACCCTTGTATTAGTACATCTCTTAACCCTCATCAGAGAAGCTTCTTTTTGCCGTAGCTGGAAATTAATACAGAGAGCCGTAACTTGTCAGTATGCAGAGAATAAGAGTTTGGAGAGTGCCTACTTCTACTCCTCACAAAGTTCAGGGATCATTGCAGAAGAGGAAGCAGAGAGATTATAGTGGATGTCTACAGTCAAGCAGTATTTGCTGGGCATGACAGTACTGTCTAAATACTTAAAGTACCTGTGACTGCACATGCAAGACCTGCACAAGATCAAGCCAGCCAAAATCCCAGCATGGATGGAAGAGGGGCTCAAGGAGTTCCACCCTTAGCTGAGGAGCTGCCACAATTGATGGCTCCTAGGAGATGAAGAGTCAGTTTTCTTCGAGGATATGGACCCTAATAGGCTACCTATTCACCAGTAGGTAGTCCTACAGCCACACACATGGGAAGCACTAAAAGGACTTGGGTTATTGTTTGTGTGCTTGCTTTTTTTTTTTTAAAGAGTCTTTGCAGTTGGAAGGGAAAATGGTTGTGGAAGAGGGAAAGAACTGGAGGGGAGGGAATGGGGAATGGGTTTGATCAAAACATTATATGCAAGTATGGGGATCTCAAACACTGAGAAAAGAAAGTCTAACATACATCCCAATTTTAAATTATTTCTAAATGAACAAACAGAAAAATTGACCTGTATTTGGTGTGCATAAATCACATATAGATCTTAGACACCACAGACAAGATTAGCAAAATTCTAACCCCTCCCCTCCATTCACACCTCGTTCTCAGGCCCTAACAACCACTGATTTGCCCTCTGTCACTCTAAGTCTGTACTTCTGAGATTGTTGAAAACAGAATCACACCAAACAAAGTGTATTCTTTCGTAGTGTTTAACTTTCCTTTAATATTGGATATAGATTGAACCAAAGCACTCAGACATGGACCAACAGCTCTTCTACTGAGCTATGTTCCAGCCCCCTGTTAGTTTAGTTTAATTTTTGGAGATTATAATATAATTATATTATTTTATCCCTTTCATTTCTTCTCTCCATTCTCTCCCATATGCTCCCTCCCCAGGCACCTGGTGCACGTGTGCACACACACTTCATGGCCTCTTTTCCTTTAATTGTCATTGTTGGTGGTGGTGGTGGTGATGGTGTGGTGTGTGTGTGTGTGTGTGTGTGTGTGTGTGTGTGTGTGTGTTTCTAAATACATAAATACAACCTACTATGTTCCATATAATTTCACTTGTATGTACATGTTTTTAAGGCTGACCATTCAGTACTGGATAACCAATTGGTGTGCTCTTCTTGGAGAGGACTATTTCTCATCTCTCAAACTTACTTAGTTGCTAGTAGTTCTTTGTCTAGGGTTAAGGCCTTGGGGGCTTTCACTATTCATTCACATTAGAGTGGGTGTAGCTTCTTTGACATTTCTAGATGACACAGTCTCACACCAAACTGCTGATTCCTCTGGCTATTAAACTCTTCCCATGCTTTCCCTGAGCCTTAGGTACAGGAGTTGTGTTGTAGATGTAGCTGTTGGAACTGTACTCCACAATTCTGCGTTTTAATTGGTTTGTGGTTTTCTATAATGGTATTCATCCAACAAAGAGCAGTTTCCTTGAAGAAGGGGAAGAGATACACTTACCTGTGGGTATAAGGATACAATTTTCAAATGTAGTTAGGGATTATGCTGGTTTAGTAGATCCTGCCTTCACTATCCCTATGTAGTTAGATTTCTAGTTCCAGGCATGATTACTCTCTTGTTGCGTGGGCTTTGTGCTCAGTTAGAGAGCTCATGGTTACCATCAAGCTATGCATGCCACTACTACACCCTTAGGGTTATCTTGCCATGATGTTCATTGTTGTTGCTTATAAGCATCATAGCTGAGTACAACTGTTGGTTGCTTCTCTCCTTTGGAAACTTGCTTAATGCCTTCTGGTACAATGAAAGCTAGTCCCAAGAGAGGAGATTTTCCAGTCAGATCCAGCTCAGGTTTCCTTAGTCCTGTCTGAAGTACATAGTGTCTTCAGCTTGTTGTAGTGTACGTGTAGAAGTCATAAAACAGCTTTCAGGAGTGGATCCTCCCCTTCCACCTTTGTTGAAGGAGGGTCTCTCTTTTTGTTTCTGTCATGCTGTGTGCCCCGGGCTAGCTGGCCCATGAGCTTCTGGGCAGTTCTTTTATCTCCATTTCCCATATTGCCATAGGTGTGCTGGAGTTATACATGTGTGCACCACATTAAACTTTTTGTGTGGGTTCTGAGTGAGGTAGTTGGCTGTCCCAGGGACACAGACTAGGATCTGGTCTATTTCTGACATAATATAATAGAATTATATTATGCTTAGATAGGTTAACTATATGATCCCATTTCTTTCTTCAGTATAGAATAATTTTTCTGAAAAAAAATGGATATCTTCTTTATTTACATTTCAATTGTTTTCTCCTTTTTAGGCCTCCCCTTTGGAAACCCCTTATCCCACCTCCCCTCCTCCTGCTTCTATGAGGCTGTTCCCCCACCCACCCACCTACTCCTACCTTCTGCCCTGGCATACCCCTACACTGGGGCATGGAATACACTCAGGCCCAAGGGCTGCTCCTCCCACTGATATCCATCAAGGCCATCCTCTGCCACATATGTGGCCAGAGCCATGGGTCTCTCCATGTGTACTCTTTGGTTGGTGGTCCAGTCCCCGGGAGCTCCGGGGTATGACCCCATTTTTTAAAAAAATAACCTATTCCTGGGTCTTGTCCCCATCTCAAATGCCATGTAACATTCTTTGGCATACTCTGTTTACCTGGATGAGAGAAGGTGCAGGAAAGTGTCTGTAGCTGATCCTTGAAGGACCTGATCCCATATACCCTGTGGACAGGGAGGCCACAGACCAAACCTCCCCACTTCCTGATGACACCTGTTCTCTCTCAGGGCAAGGAGAAGTTGGGGTCAAGTCACAGAGAGGAAGAGAATAGTGATCACATCTCTGTCTCTCCTGTCTCACATTTCTCTCTCCTTATGTGTAAAACAGACTGTTCTTTAACATTCGGTGACAGTGGATTATTTGTGCTAATTCTGTTTTCCATCTTTCCTAGAAAAGACTGTATCTTCACCATTGACCCATCAACTGCTCGAGACCTTGATGACGCCCTCTCTTGCAGGCGGCTTACTGACGGTAGGATAGAAATTCCTCTGCTGCTCTGTGCAGTAGGCAACCTACACACCCACATGCTGTATACCCATGTCATCCTTCCTTGTGCTGTTTTAGCAACTTAATGGACAAGAATGGATTTGCTTCATTCCTGAAATTGGCGAGACAAGCTAACGGTTGAGTCCCCATGGGGGCTCTGGTGAGGGAGAGGAGGAAAAATATCTTCTCACTAGCTGTCTGAGGGTCTTAGATGAGGTCATGAAAGCACAAGAGCTACTTCTAGGCCTTGACCCTCTTGTTAGCGTGGGTATGAGGAGTAGTAGGAAGACCCCTATGGACTCTACCCAAGAGAAACTGATGTCTCCTTAAGGAAACATGGAGGGGCTCTCTCAAGACATGCCGTACAGTGGGCAGCAGCAGGCAATACCTCCTGAAACATGGTTGTCTAGACCTTACCTGCAGAGGCCTCTCTACTCCCGATAGCTCTTTGTCTATTAAAAGGATTATGAGGGCTGGAGAGATGATGGCTCAGCAGTTAAGAGCACTGACAGCTTGCACTAACTACTGTTCCAGAAGTCCTGAGTTCAACTCCCAGCAACCACATGGTGGCTCACAACCATCTGTAATGGAATCCAATGCCCTCTTTTGGTATGTCTGAAGACAGTGACAGTGTACTCACATACATAAAATAAATCTTAAAAATAAAAAGATTGTGAATGGCTGATTGTTAAGGGCCTTTGAAAAGTCAGCATCTCAGTCATGGATGATTATAGTAGAAAGAACAGCAGCAGCTGATTGTCAAAGGACCTGTGGTCAGTGTGAGGGAAAAACCCTAACAGTTCCCTCCATCCCCACAGATACATTTTCTAGGTGTGTCTGACCTTTTCTTAGGAGCCTTACTGCTGTGACACTGATTATTCTTGAAGATTACTTTAGACTAACATGGCCTTTGATGGTGTACTAGTGAGGTACCTGCATCTTTTTATCTTAGTCTGCCACAGAACACTGATGGCCCACATTCAAAGTATTCACCCCTCATCTTCCTCTGGTGCAAACCTCTGTGTTTCCTTCTCTGTTGCAATAAATAGTGATGATTGGCAGACAGAAGCTAAGAGACAGAACATGCTGCCTAAAATTGCTTTAGCAGCTCTCCCCACCCCCCAACCCCCCCAATAATCCTGTGGATAAGGCTTCTGTGTGCTAGGCAATGCTCTGTTACTGAGCTGTATCCTCAGCACAGTACTCTCAGCTATATGTTTCTATAATCTAAAATTAGAGCAGGCTACTTACAAGAGCAAACTTTGGCCTAACATTACATTCTGAGCACTCTCTGCTATGCACAGAGGCTTGAGCAAGCCTGCTCTCTCTCTGCAGATCCTACTCTCCAAAGCTCCGATATGAACAGTGTCCCAGGCAGAGGACACTTCCTCCCCTTGGGATTACAGCTCTTCTTGTTAGTGGTTGAAAACACCTGCTCCATTTTTCCTCTCTAGTTTTTTTTTTTTTTTAAGCTGTTACAGGATATTTAATCACACTATGAAGCTCAAAATTGTGTTATTTACTGAAAATACCTATTTCTTTTTTTTTTATTGGATGATTTATTTACATTTCCTATGTTGTCCCCTTACCCCATCCCCCACCACCCCCTCGGAACCCCCAATCCCCTCGCCCCTCCTCCTTCTTCTCTGTGGATGTAACCTCTATCTACACCCCCCCACTCCCACCTCCCCACCCTCAAAATTCCCACCCCCTGGGGCATCCAGTCTTCATGAGGTCAAGGTTCTCTTCTTCCACCTATGCCCAGCAGGGCCCTCCACTTTTACATATTCAGCTGAAGCCCTGGATCCCCCCCTAAGTGCTCCCAGGCTGGTGGTTTAGACCCTGGGAGCTGTGGTTGGTTGGTATTGTTGCTCTCCTCATGGTGCCACAAACCCTTTCAGCTCCTTCAGTCTTCACTCTAACTCCTCTATTGAGAACCCCATGATCAGTTCAATGGCTAGTTGTGAGCATCTGCCTCTGAATATGTCTGACTCTTGAAGGCCTCTGAGGAGATATCCATATCAGGCTCTTATCAGCATGTACTTCCTGTCTTCCACATCAGCATCTACCTTTGTCTATAGCAGAAGTCTAATACCTGTCTCTCTATCTCTGCTAGCCCCAAACTCTTGAACTTGCAGGGAGAGCAGGGAGCTAGCATATGTCCTTTCTCATTCACTCTGCAGAAGCCACTTCTTGTCTAGTATGCAAGTGTGAGAGCAAAGATTTCATGGAGAAAATGAGGGGAACGTGCTGCAAGAAAAGCAGATTAGCAACAAATAATGTTCTTTATTTGTCAGACCACAGAAAACCACATAGACATTGTTCTTCAGAGATTCAGCCAGTTGGGGAAATAAGTTATCAAAAGACTAAAGGACAAGGAGAAGTTGGCCAGGAAAGTGCCAGAGAAACTTCACAAGTGTAGGCATGCAGAACTGAACTGGAGATTATGAGCAAGGTCCATGAAGGGTACGGGAACAGAGATGGGGAAGAGAAGAATCTTTGGAAACAGGTGGCAGAAGGAAAAAGAAAAGACAGAGGTGCTTATCCTGGATGGTGGGGAACTATCCACAGGTAGAAATTGGAAAGTCAGGAGGACATGCTGGTTTTGGACAGGCTACCACATGAAGTTGCCTGTCTTATGATATGCATTTATATGAATCACTGCTAACCTATTTTTAAAGGACAAGAGAATAAGTAAACTGAGTAGATGATGTCGTCTATAGCAGGAGAGCCCTGAGGGAAGACAAGCGACATGCACAGTATAGAGAGTGAGCCTCCTACGACGATGGGATCACAGGCCATTTTCCTCTCTGCTCTACTGTCCAGATTTTATAATGTGGTAATAGTAGCTTTATAATGAAAAAACGTTGTAGTAAGAAATTATGAGGTGCCAGAAATCCCAAGCTGCCCAGTAGTCACCCATCACACAAGGTGTTCAGAGCCTTCTATGTGCTTGGTATTTCTTGCATTCCAGAGAGACAGTTGACATCTGTGCATCTGGCAGTGAGGCAGCAAAAGGAAGAAACCAGGGAAGTCTTGGGAAAGGCCAAGGTACTCAGTCAAGCATTTTTATGGTGGCACTTCCACAGTTGGCCATTGGGACAACTGGCTCTGCCAGGATCATTTATCCAGGGAGATGAAAAGCGAATGGGCAAGTCCAGTTTGGATTGAGATGGCGTTGGCTAAGTTCAGGTTCCATTAGTTACCAGTTTATGTCAGTTCCTACTTAGAGGAAAATAGTTACTGTTTTAAAAAGCAAATAATGTTTTCTGGTCATATTTACATAATCTATGCTTATTTAAATAAAATACTGTATAACAGGTATGTTTTTCTTTGGTCTCACAGAAATCATCTGAATGGCTATTATGTGAAAAATCAACTCTATAGACAGAGCCTTCTGATGCTCACACTTCCTTTCATAGGGTTCCAGGGTACACTCAGGTCTTTCCTATCAGGTGCAAGATACAGACAAACAATTGTGTAAAGTGTTAAAATCAACTGAAAGGAGGAGGAAGTGTGTCTCTTCCTCCCTTCCAAAGCAGAGCTTCTACCATGCATCTGATCTGGGATTCACTCCTTTAGCCCCAAACACACCTAAGGAGAAGGAACACTCCCTAGCAATGTGGATTCTTTCACTTTGCTTAAGAAAATATTTAATAAAATGTGGTATTGTAATGATATCCCAGAATCTAAAGACAGTAAATCCCAGTTCAGTGTTTTATGATTGTAACAGATTGCCTGCAACAACACCTCACAGTTGACCTCACATTAGTCTGGGAATACCACAGTTGTAAGCTCACCCTCTGGTTTCTTAATAACTCTTGCGGCATCCACTTTATTGAATATCCAGATTGCATTTGAACTTGTTACTTTAAAGCCTGTTCTGCCATAAGATTGTGTGACTCTTAGAGAATCCTCCCCTGAAAGAATCAGAAGTACTGTTATCTTTCTGTAGTTTCCATGTGTTAGTCCTGTTAATGCTCCTCAGAGCCCTTCAGCACAGATAAAGTGATTCATGTGAGTATCTTTCTAAACAAGAGCTATCATTTGTTTTCTGTCTTATAACATCTCAGCTAAGGAAGCTAAATATTCTTTCCTGTCTTGTGGCTGATAAAGTGTGAGTCCATTCTCCACATCATAGAGTCTTCCTGTCTCTGTGAGGTCTAGGGGGTATGGCTCCCTGGCTTGCAAGCTCTCCTAGAAAAGTTCGTCTTTGCTGGAAGAATTGGGATCTGGATAATGTGTGCCCGTTCTGTTCAGTTACTGCTTTTCCATAAGTGTCAAAGACCAAACTGTCAGATAGATGGGTTCTTTAGCAAACTGTGAGGCAGGGCCTTTAGCTTTAGTTGATTCTGGAACCCCACAATTCTACAGCATCTTGTTTTGTAATTTGAATTCTCTAATGTTTGCTCTGTCGTTGAACATGGCAGGGTTCCCCTTGCCAGGCCTTAGAAGTGAATGAACAGGAGAGAGAACAGCTGATAATGAACTTGGGGTTCTTTTTGGAGTGATGAAAGAGTTCTGGAATTACATGGTTGGTAGTTGCACAGTTTTGTGAAAATGTTAAAACCATAGAAAAAAGATGAATGAGTGAAAAATGAATGAATGAATGAATGAATGAATGAATGAATGAGAAAAATAAGTGAACAAATCTAAATCCACTTATTTTTTATACTTTACAGAAATTAGAATTTAGATTTTATCCATGACTAAGCAGGGATCTTATCGGAATGTCCATCTGGGTACCTGTAGTCCCATCGTTTTTGTTTCCTCCTGACCCTAAAGCATGAACTACCAAACCCAAGTGCCCAACCCTTTACCTGGGCTACCTACCTGCCCCCAACCATTTGACTCATTGAAAGAAGGGCCCTCCTCCTACCTTGGTAAAAGATGGGGAAATGGATGTCTTCCAGCCTGCACACCTCCAAAGAGTACAGTGTTGCTTTCCTCTCAAAGTGTCTCTCTCCTGCCAAGACTTTCTGACT